AAACTACTAAAACTAACTTGTTGAGTTCCTATCTATCCCTCATTTTACATGAACTAAAAAGCTACCTATTTATATAAAATAAATTACATAGAGAAATATAACGAACATGTCTAATATATCAACTATGTCTAATATATTAACTATATCTAATATGTCAGTTATGTCACATATGTCTGATATATCATATATATCGTTTATGTCAAATTAGTCGATCTTTTGCGCTATATAAGCTGCATCACATTTACCCTTTCACAATATTGAGTTATAAATTTATTAAATATTTTTATTTGTTATGCTATTAGTTCTTTAGTATAAAAAGTTTTCTTTTTTATTTTTTTATACTGATAGAAGCATTCTTTTATAATTTGATTTTCTGTAATAGACTTTCTAATTTTTTTTATATTACCTTAGCTTCTTCAATTAAGATTTCTTCTATATAGTAAAATAATTCTTCTTTTTCATTTTCTTCTTCACTTTTTTCTTTATATATTTTTTTATATTCTTCCTTACTTTATTTTATTAATTGATTCAGTCCTGATTAATAGTGACTAGTGAAATTTAATGAGAATATTAATCATATATTCTTCCTAATATAATATTATGATTTTATTTCTATAATTGATTCTGCGTCAGTTTTTTTTAGTCAATCATTTCTTATAATTATATCGTAGGAATCTGTTTCAGTAACAATTGTATTAAAGAAGATTATTTTTTTCATTAATCTCAATGGAATATTGATAACCATCTCTAAAGATTTCTTTTTTTATTATTTATATTGATCATTATTGTTTTAGATTTCTTTATATTTCTATATCCAATTCTTTGAGTAAGACAAGAAATACAATAAATTCAGAAGATCTCAAATTAATAATAAATAATATTTCTTTATTTTTAATATGAACTTAATAATATAAGGCAGTAGATTTTTGTTTATCATTTTTGAATATATTATGTGTTTATAGTCAACTCTTGTTATAACGAACTCTATGTTATAGACCTCAACTTCGCTATAAGGCTATAGTGAAGAGTTTAAGAGATTTGATTGGCTAATTCGCTATAACAAGAGTATTTTTATTATATTTGTTCAAAAAATTCGTTATATCAAGAATTCGCTATATCAAGAGTTGACTGTATTTAATATAAGATATTTCTCATTTTCTTTAATTTTGCAATATCTATTACCTTTGGTTCAAAAAGTCCTATACTATAGTCTTTTTACTTTCTTTTGAATAAGCTATTTCTTTTAGTATTATAAAACCTTTTTCTTTATTTAGTTTTTTTACAATAGGCTTCCTTAGTTACTTAGCTATATTTATAAAAAACTTTAGATTTATTAATAATAATTGACTATTTGTTATATTAGCAGGCTAGTTAAAGAATTATTAAGATATATATAGATCAATTATATAAGTTACTAAAAGTACAGTAAAAGGTTTTCATTTTCCTTTTAATTTAATTATCCTTTTTACTATAATACTTTTTTATTAATTTTCTTTTTTTTTAATTACATTCTCTTTATCAACAATTTTTCTTTTTTTATCTACAAATAATTCATGTTGTTAATGTTAAAAATTTGCCATAGAAAAATGATTTACAAAGTCATTAGATTTAATTTCATGTAAATCATATTAAGGAAGATCTTAATTAACATACTGCTTTAAAAAATCAGGTTGATTTATTTAATTTGAAGGATTTATAAAATTCATCTGATTTATTTGATTAGCTTATTTTATTAAATTCTTTATAAATTTATTATTTTCATTATAATTATTATTTTTATTATTTCTTTTATTTTTATTATCGTTATATTTTATCTTATATTTTATATTTTTATTTTATTACAATTTATTATTATTTTATAGCCAAAATTTACTAAAATAGTTAGTTTATAGCATAACAAGTAGTTAGTTATAGCAAATTTATTTTGTATAAATAGAATAATTTTTTGCTAAAGTTGTAAATTAACTTATTTGTAAGTTTTATACAAGTTTCAAGTTATTAATAAAGAAATCAATTTAAATTCATACAAATTTAATTTTCTCTTCAACATTGTTTTTTATCTAGAATTTGTTGTGATATCCTATACTAACTTGTTATTGAGTTCATCATTATAAGTTTGACTAACATATCTTAAATTTTAAGACGTGATAAATTACTGAGTTGATTTAAATATAACGGATATCTGTAAAACTTAGAGAAAAATCTTAAGATCAGAAATTCTAACGTATAAAATCAACTATCACAACCTTTTAACTTAGACATTAAGATAAACTGAAAATGAACTGGTGATAATGTATAGATAAATTAGAAGGATTGTAAAAGATTCTATATTATTATCCTTTTAAGGTATACCTTCTAGTTTAAAGACTGATTATTATTATCAGCTTCTTATTACTATAATATTTGAGTCAACAATTATAATGCTTGTAAGTTTGTAATATTATTATTTTACACAATATTATTATTATTCTTAATGGGTAGTAGTAGAGAATTATTTAAAGTATTATTTACTAACATCAGGTTGATAATAGGTAGTAGATTATTATTTTATTGATTGTTTGCAAAGATGATAAGCAGGCAAATTCTTTTTATATAATCTGATTATTTATAATTAAAGCAAAGAATATTTTCTTTTGATTTCTAGTTATTATTTCAAATGTTATAGTTTAATTGATTATTTTATACAAATGCTTGTTAATTATTTTATTAATACAGCTAGTATTATTGCTATATATTTTGTTAGTTATCTTGACAGCTTTAATTATTTCTTTTATTGTTTTTACTTATATTTAATTGTTATATTTGTTATATTAGAATATAATAGTATTATTTAAATTATTTATTTGTATTAAAATAATAGTTAAAAGAACGAATTTATTCATATAAGCTTCAATAATAGTAATATCTTTATATGTAAGTTTATATTATTTAGCTTAATCTAAAATATTTGTTTACATTTAATTATTGAATAGCTTGATAAGAATATGAAGTTCAGACAAAAAGTTCAGAAATAAGTTATCTAGCTTTATGAGTATTAGGATACTAAAAGGCTAGTGTTTTAACTTTATGATATAATTGAGTAAGACATTAGCATAGTCATCAATAATCTCACCAGGTTGCTGTCTTCTCTTTTTTAACTCAATTATCTAAATTTCTACTAGAATTTGAAATCTAAAGGTAGCTAAAAATATTACAGTAAAATTAGTGTTATTATTATTACTAATTTATATAATATGATTAGCATATTTATTTGCTAATGTTTAATTTGTGATCTACTATGTTAAAGCTAAATTTTTCAAATATGCAAGTATAACTTTAAACTTTTTATTATCAGTGATTCTATTAATATTACAAATACATATAAATTCCTTCATCTAAATAATTAGATCTTAATTCTTACTATAAAAATAAGGTAGGTCAAAAATACATGATTTCTTTCATGAAAAATTAGCATTCATGATTTTTGTGTTAACTTATAACTGATTGATCAAATTAAAGATTCCATTATTGATGTTGAGATTAAGTAAAATATTTAGATTTAAAATTCCAATAACATTTTGTAAAATAGCAGTTAATGTTTAGATGTCAGTTTGATTTATAGCTATTTTTTCAAATAGAATTTTTAAATTTAATTCTTCATTTGTATATAATAGACTATTTATATATAAAGTATTATCAATATTATTATATAAAATTATTTGGTTAAAATTCTCTATTATTTTAAAAAGTAATACAAAAGTTATTTCAGAAATTTGATATAATTAGTATAATAGATCTAATGTAAATTTATAAGTTAATATAAAAGTGTTGTAGATAAAATTGCTTATTTAAATTCATTTTAGATTTGACAAAATATTTGTTAAGGTTTTGATATAGTTTTGCATTGTATAAGCTTTGATATAGTTTTATTTTTTCCAGAATTTTGCAGATTTTTTAAATAAATTTACCTTTTTCCATTTAGATAACTTGCAAAACCTCTAGGTTTTGTCTAACAATCTTAGTTATAAATATTTTATTTAACAGTAGTGAGTGATTCTCCAAATCTAATGTTGTATTGAATACTAAAAATAAGGTTAAATATTGCTTGATCTATTGCGTTTGCTGATCTAATATAAAGATAAGTATAATTTAATTCATTAATATATTGTTGAATACATTAAGTAAATATTATTACAGGATATATAGTAGTGTATCAATTTCAGAAATGTTGAAAAAGCTCAGAATTAATAGGTTCAGGAGGATAATAAAAATATCAAGATCTATCACAATGCTACGCAACTATATTAGTTTGATTTAAACTGATATGCAATCTATTATACCTTTGATTTAACAAATAATATTCATTAAACATGAACAATTTAGACAAATTTCAAAATTTTCAGATAGAAGGCATCAAGTATTATGATCAGTTCTTTAGATTAGTTATAAGTGATATGTGAGTAGTATTTTCAAATGGTAAGCAGAAGGTTTATTTTATAATTAATTTTAGAACAATTAATAGTTTATTTAATAATGATAATAATCATATAAAAGAAAGGTAAGTTTTGTCAGGTTGATTCTTTTATCCATCTTGTGTAAATTCTGACTTACCATTACTTAATACTTTTGGTATACTTTTTTCATCAAACGACAGGAGGGATCACCAGAAACGTTTTTTAGCTTTGTAAAATTTCTGTGGTTTAGAATATATTAACACCTGCTTAAGCATAGTATCGATTATTGAATAACAACTAACTTTTCTTACCTCACTTACAGAGAAAGATCACTTTGTGGCTAACTTACCTCCTTGATCCAAGAACCAAGTCAATTGTCCAAGAACTTTATAATTTTCTCGAATGTGTATTCTGGATTTATATGATCGAGATTTTTGTAACTTCGATCATATTATTGAATAACGATCATAATTTTGGGCATGTGATATTAACGACTATATGATCAGTACTTTGTACCTAATATAGCATCTTTGAAATGAGAAGTTAGAATCTTTGTACTACTACCGTTCAACCATTTTGAGAAGTGTGTGTGAATTTCTTTTTATGTATCAACATTTTAAGGGATTTAGTGTTACATACAGTATTTGTCAAAACAGCTATGTCTAGTGAAACACCAGATTTGACCCCTTCCAGTTCTTCTTCTCTTAGCGATATGACAGCTTTAACAGCTTCGGACCCTCGTAGTGTTTCAGAATCAGAAGAACTGAAACGATATCACCAGTTTTGGTGGAAAACTGGAAATTTTCACCCAAAAGCGAAATGGAATGAAGTAAAGTTAGTCTCTATTTGTTTCGACGACTCAATATGTTATAAACTTTGATTGATATCGGTTATTATTTATTACCAGTTTGCCATACAAGCTCATGAAAGACGTTACATTGGATGATTATATTTTTCAAACAGATCAACATAATGTGAAGGGTTTTGGGAGTAGAAGAATGGAACTATTTGTGTTATCGAATTTCCTTCGGGATTTTATGAAGTGCCTATCCATACAATTATTAGGTTATTTGCTGTAGTATTTAATCCTGTGATGAACACTCCTGCTGATATTAGGTTCTCTGATGCAGAAAGTAAGTATTTTTGTTCTATCTTTTCCTCATTTTAAGTATGATTCCATTATTTATTATTGTTGTCTAATAGCAACAAAAAACACGTGGAGGAAGTAAAGAGCCAGATACATCATTTCGACCTTATGGAAAACCTCAAGTATCTAGCAGTGGATATGATGGAATGGTATAAAGCGCTTTTAACCTGTTTATTTGTTATTTGTTGATGCGATTGTGTTGATTTTCTAATATCAGTGACATTTACTTTTAGAACAAACCCTAGCCCAATCTTGTAATAGAAGTTGCTTATGCCCAAGAAGAGTGGAAACTCAAAAATAAAATCGAGAATTACTGGCTCCTTCCAAATAGAGTTCACGATGCAATTGCAATTAAGCTAAATTACATACCAGATAATACAATTCCAACGGAGATGATAGTAAGTAATGATAAAATGGTTTAATTTCTGCACAGTTTCCTTGGTACTAATTGAAATATTTATTCTTTAATAGGCATGGCATTATTATGTGAATAATCAAACAGATGCTGGTGCGCTCGCTTCCGTAATGGTATTATACTATTTCGTACTTTATCAATACAGAATTGAATGTAATGTTTTTTTTTATTTAGTATGAGTTTAGGACTATAAACTGGCAAAGCAATTCAAGCCATATTCTACCTGGGCAATGTGTTATTAACATTCCGCTAGAATGCATTTACCATAGAATGCCAGATGACTTTGTGATTCCTTCCCCTCCCTACCTAATCCTATTTCTATCGATCTTTTTAATGTTCAAATTAGTGTTTTAAATCCCTAAACATCCCAATAAAAAATTTGATATAAAAATTCCATAAAAATATTAAGTTTTATAACGTATAACTTTTATGAAAAATCAG